ACGTGAGACGAACTAGCCAACATCGGTGAACATCTTCATGTTGATCGTATCTTCTATACGACTCATGCTCGACCTTTCGGTCTTCTGTGTTCCGAGGCCATGTCTGTACATGCTAGGCTCGTCAAGTCAACCTAAGTGTATTGCGTGTGTAAATCTGGCTTACACCCGTTGTATTCGAACGTTAGAATCTATCACACCCGATCATCACGTGGTGCTTCGAAACAACGAACCTTCGCAACGGTGCACAGTTAGGGGGAACACTTTCTTGAAATTATTATGAGGGATCATCTTATTTAAGCTACCGTCATTCTAAGCAAATAAGATGTAAAACATGATAAACATCAGATGCAATCAAATAGTGACATGATATGGCCAATATCATTTGCTCCTTTTGATCTCCATCTTCGGGGCTCCATGATCATCGTTGTCACCGGCATGACACCATGATCTCCATCATCATGATCTCCATCATCATGTCTTCTTGAAGTTGTCTCGTCATCTATTACTTCTACTACTATGGCTAACGCTTTAGCAATAAAGTAAAGTAATTACATGACGTTTATGTTGACATGCAGGTCATAAATAAATAAAGACAACTCCTATGGCTCCTGCCGGTTGTCATACTCATCGACATGTAAGTCGTGATTCCTATTACAAGAACATGATCAATCTCATACATCACATATATCATTCATCACATCCTTTTGACCATATCACATCACACGGCACATGCTGCAAAAACAAGTTAGACGTCCTCTAATTGTTGTTGCAAGTTTTTACGTGTCTGCTATAGGTTTCTAGCAAGAACGTTTCTTACCTACGCCAAAACCACAACATGATATGCCAATTTCTATTTACCCTTCATAAGGACCCTTTTCATTGAATCCGATCCGACTAAAGTAGGAGAGACAGACACCCGCCAGCCACCTTATGCAACTAGTGCATGTCAATCGGTGGAACCAGTCTCACGTAAGCGTACGTGTAAGATCGGTCCGGGCCGCTTCATCCCACGATGCCGCCGAATCAAGATAAGACTAGTAATGGCAAGCAAATTGACAATATCCACGTCCACAACTGCTTTGTGTTCTACTCGTGCATAGAAACTATGCATAGACCTAGCTCATGATGCCACTGTTGGGGAACGTAGCAGAATTTTAAAATTTTCTACGCATCACCAAGATCATTCTATGGAGTCATCTAGCAACGAGGGAGAGAGGAGTGCATCTACATACCCTTGTAGATCGCGCGCGGAAGCATTCAAGAGAACGGGGTTGATGGAGTCGTACTCGACATGATCCAAATCACCGATGACCTAGCGCCGAACGGACGGCACCTCCGCGTTCAACACACATACGGTTGGGAAGACGTCTCCTCCAACTTGATCCAACAAAGGGGAAGGAGAGGTTGATGGAGATCCAGCAGCACGACGACGTGATGGTGAAAACTACGACGATCTCAGCAGGGCTTCGCCAAGCACAGGGAGATGGAGGAGTGTCACGGGAGGGAGAGGGAGAGACCATGGGCTAGGGTGCGGCTGCCCTCCCCCCCACTATTTATAGGACCCCTAGGGGGGCGTCGGCCCTAGGAGATGCCATCTCCAAGGGGGGGGGGGCGGCCAAGGGGTGGCTTGCCCCCAAGGCAAGTGGGGCTCCCCCCACCCCTAGGGTTTCCAACCCTAGGCGCAGGGGGAGGCCCATGGGGGGGGGGCGCACCAGCCCACTAGGGGCTGGTTCCCCTCCCACTTTAGCCCATGGGGCCCTCCGGGATAGGTGGCCCCACCCGGTGGACCCCCGGGACCCTTCCGGTGGTCCCGGTACAATACCGATTACCCCCAAAACTTTTCCGATGGCCGAAACTTGACTTCCTATATATAAATCTTCACCTCTGGACCATTCCGGAACTCCTCATGACGTCCGGGATCTCATCCGGGACTCCGAACAACTTTCGGGTTACCGTATACTAATATCTCAACAACCCTAGCGTCACCGAACCTTAAGTGTGTAGACCCTACGGGTTCGGGAGACACGCAGACATGACCGAGACGACTCTCCGGTCAATAACCAACAGCGGGATCTGGATACCCATGTTGGCTCCCACATGTTCCTCGACGATCTCATCGGATGAACCACGATGTCGAGGATTCAATCAATCCGTATACAATTCCCTTCGTCAATCGGTACGTTACTTGCCCAAGACTCGATCGTCGGTATCCCAATACCTTGTTCAATCTCGTTACCGGCAAGTCACTTTACTCGTACCGTAATGCATGATCCCGTGATCAACCACTTGGTCACATTGAGCTCATTATGATGATGCATTACCGAGTGGGCCCAGAGATACCTCTCCGTCATACGGAGTGACAAATCTCGGTCTCGATTCGTGCCAACCCAACAAACACTTTCGGAGATACCTGTAGTGTATCTTTATAGTCACCCAGTTACATTGTGACGTTTGGCACACCCAAGGCACTCCTACGGTATCCGGGAGTTGCACAATCTCATGGTCTAAGGAAATGATACTTGACATTCGGAAAAGCTACAGCAAACGAACTACACGATCTTTGAGCTATGCTTAGGATTGGGTCTTGTCCATCACATGATTCTCCTAATGATGTGATCCCGTTATCAATGACATCCAATGTCCATAGTCAGGAAACCATGACTATCTTTTGATCAATGAGCTAGTCAACTAGAGGCTCACTAGGGACGTGTTGTGGTCTATGTATTCACACATGTATTACGATTTCCGGATAACATAATTATAGCATGAACAATAGACAATTATCATGAACAAAGAAATATAATAATAACCATTTTATTATAGCCTCTAGGGCATATTTCCAACAGGGAGGGAGACCTTCCATGGCGGCACGATAGAAGAAGAAGCATCCTCCCTAATGAGTTGGTGATGCTTGATGGCGTATGAGCAGGGGAGAGCGCGGCGTCCCGAGCTCCATGGCCCTTACGACAGCACGAATCCACTCCATCTGGCGCCGCCTGAGCCTGAGGTGCTCGCGTAGTGGATCTCGGTTCGCCCCCTCATCGTGTCCAGCAGCTCGCACATTGATCTGGGCTGGGACACGGCGGCGGCAGAGTTGATCTAGGGAAAACCGGCAGGGTTGGCGGCGAGGCGAGGCCGTGGTGGGGAGAGGATGTGGCGGGGCGACGCCGTGATGGGAAGAGGAGGCGAGGGTGGGGGTGGGGAGGAGGCGCCGGGCGACGTCGTGGCTGGAAGGAGGCGGCGTGCGGCGGGGACGGCAGGCGGTGGGGAAAGCGAAGTGTCTGTGCGGTGAGAAGCTGAGAATCAATTCTCAGTGGGATTGAAAGGGCAGCCGTCGCTATCTTTTTTAGTTTTCTTTTTTATAGCAAATGTTCCTTTTAGAGGGATTGATGTTTAACCGTGCTACGTATAACAGATCTCTTGCGTTTTCTGTACGATGTGTATAATCCGGCCGCTCGTGCATGAGATTGAGATTGAGAGGGCAGTCCTTGTCGAATTTACTGGTCGTATAAAAATTGGACACTGTCCATCGTATATGGAGTAGTTTCGTTATAACAAATGACCGTGCTTTATGTGGCCTAATTAAGTCATCCATAACATATATTCATATACCAAATTGAGCGTCATGCGTGTCTCTATTGTTCTTCTTTCTTGATCGACAATCAATAGCCCATTTGATCAAGTAATAATAAGCAAAGGCGTTCCTCTAAAAAAAGGTGTTGTCCAATTCAGTTATTTTGTCGATAACTCTTTTAATCATTTGGTTTATATCAGAGTTGAAAGTTGTCCAATTTTATTTTCCTCCAGCATGACCAGTTTGGTTGTGTGATTCTATCATCATCATTGGAAAAATTTCTAAAACTATTAGTAAGATTTCTAATGATATTTATTATTGAATATATCAAAAATTCGTAATCGTGCATATCATCTTGTGGTCTTTGGATGTTAAATTTTATGGAGTACTAGATAATCTTGCTTACATGTTATTTTAAGTATTTTTGGAAGTAATAATTACAATATATTTACATGATCGTGAATTTTATGTGAAGACATGTGTATCAATCGTGTGTTACACACGCGCTCATTCGATATAACACACATTTAAATGGTTGAAAAGGCTGACTAAAAAAGAAATAACAATGGAAATACAAAGTTAATGTATTTTTATAGATTATTTGAATACGTGCGTTTTTTTTGCGGGCAATAGTGAGAGCTTTATTCAAACAAAAGCATTCGCTGGATCGTCAGCCAACAGACTGCTCACCAGGAAGCTAGGGGTCTCTTCCAGCCAACTTTCAGTCATACTCAGTGTGCAAGCACGCTTGGCACAGAGATGAGCTGGATAGTTTGCTGACCGGGTTACATGAATAATATCAAATAAAGAAAAGGTAGTAGCTAGCTCTCCTATCTCATAAAACAACGGTGCCACAACCACGAAGGAATTGTGACGATTCTTCCAGAGTTCCACAACCTCCAGGCAATCTGTTTCGATGATCACCTCCTGAAATCCTCTGAGATTCGCAAAGCGCACGCCTTCCCGTACAACCATTGCTTCAGCAATAAGGGGGTCCGTGACACCCACAAGAGGTTTGCTCCATGCTCCCAAGAGGCGACCAGCTGAACGCGCCACCCCCTGCTCCACCATTGCCGCCATCCAGATGAATTGCTGCATCGGTGTTTATTTTGATGATTGTTCCATCAGGGGATAAATAAAAAAAATACTACTAGTAGATAAACAACCTAATTACCACATAAAAAAATACTACTAGTAGTAGATAAACAACCTAATGACCACACAAAAAAACCATATTTACCACGTTCGTTAAAAAAAAACCATAATTACCACGCCATTATCCAATCCCGACCACCTCGTCGTCCATTTTTTTTTTCCGAGAGTACCCTCCTCCATTTCTAATCCTCCTCGCACCTCCGTCGTCGTCTAGGGATCGAGCCGGTGGAGAGCGGTGAAGATGATGATGACGCGGGCATCGATGGGCGCCATGGATGGGGCCGCGTTGGATGAGGTGGTTCGGCGGCTCGTCGAAGGGGGCCGCGGCGGGCGCCAGGTCCAGCTGTCGGAGGCGGAGATCCGCCAGCTCTGTGTCGAGGCCAAAAGGGTGCTCCTCTCGCAGCCCAACCTCCTGCGCATTCCCGCGCCCGTCAAGATCTGCGGTGAGCACCGGCCTCAAGGCCCCTCCACTACCCTCTGATTCGGGCATACCATACGCGCGCCCTCCTCTTTGTGGCGCGTTTGCGCATTTGGGCCGTATATGCCTGATTCCCAGATGGATTATTTATGTTCGATTTTTCCCGATGTCTGGCGCATAAGGTTGATTCGGGGTATTGACTGTTGAGGACCCGGTAACGTTTTCTGTAAGAACAAGTATACTCTGTTGAAATATTGACATAGGTATGATGTCTGAAATTTAGGAATCTGAAATGTCCAATTTAAGAATCTTGGCCGGTGTTCTTGCAGCGTGGTCAATGGCCAGAGTTGGTAGTCTTTGCTCTATGGGTACACTTGTGTTATCCTTTTATACATTTTAGGATGATAAGTGGTTTAAATTTGAAATGTCCAATTGGAAGGATCTACTACTGACATAACCCTAATAATTACTAAAAGGTAGGTAAAGGTAGACAACAATATTCTTCTACCCTTTATTGAGAGGGTCAGCCCCTTTATATAGTACACAAGACTTGACCGAGAGGCCGGTAAGTCTATCACAAGTCTAATCCAACTGCTAAACCGATTGGACTCTTTCCTAACAAAGTTTTTTCGTGAATACACAGGTTGCGTATCTTTTCATTGATAGAAGGGTAGAATAGTACAAATGGGCGTCCCTCAGCTACGTGGCAAATGCATAAACCTCTTGACACTTCATCTGCGTGTGCTACCCTATGTCATGACAATTATGACTTTGCTGTTTGACGACTGTGTTTGTTATGTGTAACACAACTATTTCAAGAATTTGCATTCTTAAAGTTACTGACACGATGATCATTTTGTTTCAATGTAGTTAGTAATAATTTTTCTTTGTAAGTTTTTTCTGTAAGACTCAAGTGCTTACTTGGTATCAAAATGGTTTTTTTAATACCATAATAATAGGTTATTCATATCTTTATTCTGTTGTTTTCATTCTGAAAGGCAGTGATGCCCAACAGAACCCTATTCTTTTAATACCTTTATGAAAATCAGGTCGGTTATTTAATATTCTCAGAATAAGGACCGTCGTAAAACTGTGCACCACTTGTTGTACAAAACCCCTTTTCCATCTTTAGGAAGTACAAGTAGACTCACACATTTGGTTGAATTCGTTATGAAATCTCTTATACATATTTTTGTTGTCCTTGGCCATCTCTCCATATTTGGACTTGTCACCTGGGATCATATTTCATCCTTTTGTTACGTTTCGGAATCTGTCATTATAGAACATTCTCCCCTTTTGCCTTGTAGGTGATATCCATGGTCAGTTTGTTGATCTTCTGAGGCTGTTCGATTTGGGTGGCTATCCTCCAACTTCGACTTATCTTTTCCTTGGAGACTACGTGGATAGAGGCAAACAAAGCTTGGAAACCATATGTCTGCTTCTGGCGTATAAAGTGAAGTACCCTGATAAGGTTTTCCTGTTGAGAGGAAACCATGAAGATGCAAAAATTAACAGAGTTTATGGTTTCTATGATGAATGCAAGAGGAGATTCAATGTTCGTCTGTGGAAGATATTCTGTGATTGCTTCAACTGCTTGCCTATGGCAGCGCTTATTGATGATAAGATATTCTGTATGCATGGTGGCCTCTCACCTGAATTGAATAGCTTAGATCAAATTAAGGATATTGAGAGGCCTGTTGAAATTCCTGACTATGGTCTTCTATGTGATTTGCTTTGGTCTGATCCTAGTTCTGACACACAAGGGTGGGGGGAGAGTGACAGAGGTGTTGCTTGTACTTTCGGTGCGGATAAGCTTGTAGAATTTTTGGAGAAGAATGATCTTGACCTCATTTGCCGAGCTCACCAGGTAGGCGGAAATTGCTCTACCTTACTTTTATCTTATCCATCATGGCATTTATATAACTGAAGCATGAATGTCCTCAGGTGGTAGAGGATGGCTATGAGTTCTTTGCAGAAAGGAGATTAGTCACCATCTTTTCAGCTCCAAACTACTGTGGAGAATTTGATAATGCGGGTGCTTTGTTAAGCATAGATGAAAGCTTAATGTGTTCTTTCCAGATCTTGAAGCCAAAAGAAACAGGAGCACCACATTCAAGAAAACCAATTTCAAACAAGGTAAATAATCAGGCTTCAGTTGGTTTCCCTTTCATGACCCAATATATTGGACAAGTGACATATAGATCATCAGTGAGTTATTCTTGTTTGAACTACAATTCATGAAAAAGACATTTTATCTATATCTATCTATACCTTTATCTACCCCTATCTACAAATATAAAAAGATCCAATTAATGAACCATGTCAATCCAACGACCTAGATTGCTCCAATGGTGAGTGCTCAACATGTTTAGCGTGCAATTAATATCATACATGTTTGTGCTAATCACATAATTAACACATATTTGATATCCTACCTAATATAAATGTGCAATTAATTTTCGTCCTAATATTAACGGGCATTGCACGTACGCATTTACTAGTTAGTATAAACTAGAGAGATACACGCGCCCTGCCGCGCGAGTTTTCTTTTGGGCGTGAATTTTTTTCCAGGCTCCTATGGCTGGTTGGTTCTTCGTGGGTTTTTCTTCAGTTATTATTCGCTCTACAAAACAGTTAAGCATGAACATTGTAAATCCTTTCTTCCTATTACAAATAAGAACAACAAAACGATGAATTCCACACGTACACACGACCACCCTTCTCCGACCCACTTACAGCCAACTTCTTTTACCGAAAAAGGCTTTCGCCCCGCTTTATAGATAAAGCCCAACACCAACAAGGTTCACCAACAAACACACACACACAGAGGTCTAACACCGCAAGTAGTCAAATAGGTTAATGCTGAGGGCACAACTCAACAAGCCCTGAAAAACGAAAAAAGGCGCGCACACTGAGGGTGCGGCACAGCATCTAGTCTGGCTCCGGTGGTGGCGGGGGGAGCGGGGGCGCCAAGCTGAAGGCCATCGAGCGAAGGTCGGCGATGAGGTTGTTGATGATGGCCCGATCCTGGGGGTGGCTAAGCGGCCGCCAAAGCTGCAAGTATCCACACATTTTAAAGATGGCGTTAGTAGCACGTCGAAGTGGGACCTTCTGAATGCTTATTGTGAACGGTCCGGAGCGTCCAGGCGAGGACCCCAACGCAAAGCCATCTAATATGGCGGTAGCGAGGGGGGGGGGAGGCATGGATTTCCGCAAGCAGGTCAGGGAAGTTGGTGTTACACCACTGGCCCCCAACCGTCTCGCGGAAGCAGGACCAAAGGAACTGAGCCGTAGAGCACGAGAAGATGTGGTTAGCATCCTCCATCGTGTCGCACAAGGGGCACATCCCGTTCCAGGTCCATTCCGCTTACGGACCTCCACGCCAGTCGGGAGGCGACTGCGAATCCATTGCCACATGAAGATCCTGATCTTCAGGGGCAGGCGGATATCCTAAATCAAACTAAAGGGTTCGGGGGCCGTCGAGGGTGCAATGGCCGCGTAGAGGGATTTGGTGGAGAAGCAGCCGGAGGGCTCAAGCCGCCAAGATGTGACATCCGGGGAGCCAACGCCGTCCATAGGGAGGAGGGCGATGTCCAGCATAAGGGCGTCCCAGGCAGCAACCTCTGGAGGGCCGAAGGGGCGGCGGAAGGCGAGGCGCCCTAAGTCAATAAGGGCCGCCTCGACAGATATACGGGGGTCAACTGCAATAGTGAAGAGCGCAGGAAATCGCGCGGCCAAGGGGGAGTCACCAAGCCATCGATCAAACCAGAACAGGGTCGATGATCCGGTACCAACCGCTATGGAAGTGCCAATACGGAGAACCGGGAGCAGCTGGACGACGGCCTGCCAGAACTGGGGGCCGCCCGAGCGCTGACAGAAAGCAAGGGGCTGTCCACGGAGATACTTGTTCTGGATGATGGTGAGCCATAGACCTCCATCACCATTGGCAATGCGCCAGAGCCAATGAGTCAGGAGGGCTATGTTCATGCGGCGGGAGGACAGGATCCCAAGACCTCCCTGGTCCTTGGGTTTGCAGATATCGGGCCAGCTAACCATATGGTACTTCTGCTTATCCCCCTCCCCTGCCCAGAAGAATCTAGATTGGTACTTGGCGATCTCCTGATGGAGGGTCTCATGGAGGCTATAGAAGCTCATGAGGAACCACAGGATGCTAGCAAGCGAGGAGTTAATAAGGATCACCCGAGCAGCCTTCGACAACCAACGCCCTTTCCAGGGTTCAACCCGATGTTGCATACGGGTCACCGTGGGGCGGAGGCCCGCCACGGTGAGGCGCGAGTCACTAATGGGGATCCCCAAGTAAGTCGTGGGGAAAGAACCCAACCGACAATTAAGTCGGTCCGCTATGGACCGTGCTTCCTCGGGGGGGAACCCGAGCACCATCACTTCGCTCTTATCGAAGTTAATGGTTAGGCCCGACATCTGTTGGAAGCACAGGAGGAGGAACTTTAGGTTAGCGATGTCCTGGACGGTGCCCTCCACCATAATTATGGTATCGTCCGCATATTGGAGGAGGGAGACCCCTCCCCCTTCGACTAGGTGAGGGACGACGCCGCGAATATGGCCAGCATCCTTGGCCTTATCAAGGATGGATTCCAGGGCATCAACCACCATGTTGAACAGAAACGGCGAGAAAGGGTCGCCTTGACGAACCCCACAGAGGGTGTGGAAGTAGGGCCCAATGTCCCCGTTGATGTTCACATCGGTCCGTCCACAGGAGACAAGTTGCATAACCCTAGTCACCCACCGGTCGTCGAAGCCCTTGCGAAGCAAGACTTCTCGCAAGAAGGGCTAGTGGACCGTGTCATAGGCCTTGTGGAAGTCGAGCTTCAGAAACACCGCCCGATGGTGTCTCAACCGGACCTCATGGCGGACTTCGTGGAGTACCAGAACCCCATCCAGAATAAATCGGCCTTTAATGAAGGCGGATTGGTTCGGGTGGGTAATCGCATTCGCGAGCAGGGTCACCCTATTGGCGTACCCTTTGGCCAGGATCCGGAATATCACATTGATCACGGTGATTGGCCGAAATTGGCGGATTTCGGAGGCGCCCGGGACCTTGGGGATAAGGGTCACGATGCCATAGTTGAGGCGCCCAAGATCCATGGTGCCAGAGAAGAATTCTTCGAACAGGGCCATGACCTCCGGCTTGATGGTCGGCCAGAACGTCTTAAAAAACGTAACTGGCAGGCCATCCGGACCCGGGGCCGAGGAGGGGTTCATCCCTTTGATAGCCGCGAGAACCTCATCCTCGGCAAAGGGGGCCACCAAAGCAGCATTGGCCGCATCAGAAACCAAGTGGGCACCCGACCAAATGTCGGGGGCGAGACTAGCCCCACCCCGAGGGGTGGGGGTAAATAGGGCCTTGTAAAAGCCATCTACATGGGTACAAATGGCCGAGGGGCGAACGAGAGGGGTATCTCCATCCCAGAGGCAATGGATGGAGTTTCGGCGCCGGCGGCCGTTCGCCACCGCCTGGAAATAGGCGGTGTTGGCATCTCCCCGAAGTACCCACCGCTGGGTACCACGCATACGCCAGTAGGCCTCTTCATCCGTGTAGATGGTTGAGAGCTGGTCTTCAAGGTCATATCGCACCATCCACTCATCTGGGGAGATTCCAGACGTGTCAGCACGGGCATCCAGAGCTTGAATAGCCAGCAGGAGGGCCTTTTTTCGTTCTCTGAGATCCCGGCCAAGGTTTGCACCCCGCCCTTTCATGAATTGGCGGGCAAGCTTGGCACAGAAGTGCCACGAGTCAACAACAGACATGGCGCGATGAGGGGAAGAGCGGGCAGAGATCCAGCGAGCGGCAACCGCCTCCCGGAAGCCGGCCTGGTTGAGCCAGAAGAGCTCAAACCGGAAACGCGGCGGGGAGGGGGGGCGCTCGTCGGCCGTGGAGAGGAGGAGAGGGACATGGCCAGACCCGATCCGGGTAATCGCACGAAGCGAGGCCAGGGGGCAGCATAATTCCCATTCCGGAGAAACTAGGACGCGATCCAAGACGGATCGCGTCGGGTCAGCCTGACGGTTAGTCCAAGTGAAACGGGCACCCGTCCGGTCCAGCTCACGGAGACCCAGCTCCGCGATCCAGTCATTGAATAACTGCATCCGGGGGAGGTTAATCCGGTCATTATTCTTCTCATCCGGGGATCGGATGAGGTTAAAGTCTCCGCCCACAACTACTGGGAGGAGAGAGTTGGAGATCTTCAGATGAAGCTCCTCCAAGAAGGTCGGGGAGCGGCGATGGTCCGCCGGACCATAGACAATCACGACCTGCCATTTGAAGTTGAGGGCCCGCTCGAAGATCTCCATACTCACGAAGAATTCCCCCCGATCCATGCCCCCAACCTCAAAGGTGGCATCCTTCACCCCTAACAGGATGCCGCCAGAGTGGCCAGTGGTCCCACTAGAAGGGAGCCAATGCCAAGCGAAGAGGTGAGAGCTAAGACACTCGAGTTCCTGGAGGGAGAACTCAGTGCGCATGGTTTCCTGGATGGCAATGATGTCGATGTGTTCGTCTCGTATGTACTCGATGAGTTGGCGGCGGCGGCCCTCATGGCCGAAGCCGCGAATGTTCCAAAAAAGGGCCCGCATCTAAACCCCCATGGGGGGGCTGCTTGACCCCAAGACACGGGAGGCGCTTTGTGCACGGAGAGCGGCAGTGCGAGAGCGGGTGCGGCCACGGATCACACCGTCGGCCACCGTAGGGCCCAGACCCGCGGGGGTTGCGTTCGAATCCACGGTGGGCCAGAGCAAGCACGCCCGAGTCTCAGCCAGCTTGCCATCTAAGACCTCGCGAGCCCTAATGGCCGCGATCTGTTCTAAGGGGGGACCAACCTCCCCCCTAAAAACTATGGCCGAGTCAGTAGCCACCTTGGCGAGGTGGCCAAGAGGGACGGCCTTAAGCGCGGAAAAGGAACAACTGGAAGAACTAGGGGGGACGGTATCCACACCTGACTCGAGGTTCCGGACCGCGGCCCGAAGCTCCGCACGCTCAGCGACGGACGACGCCGGGGAGTCCGCCGGACGGGTCGCATCGAGGCGGGCGCTACGGCGGGACGCCGTCACCGGCGTTGAAGTGGAGCGGGGCCGCCTGACGTACGCCACCGTCGGAGGAGGGTGAGCGGCGGTCGGAGTGGTCACGATCACAGCCACCGTCGCAGCCGGGGAGGTGGGCGGAGCGAGGTGGGCATCGGGGGCCACCGGCGAGGGGAGCGGGGCGATGGGCTCCAGGGTGTCGCCAACCGCCACGCCCGCGGGTGGGGGGCCGGAGCTGGCGCGCCGACGGGGAGGCAGGCCCCCACCGCCACCCATGGGGACCGGGGAGGTCGAGCCAGGGGTGGCCGGGGGGTCTGGGGCCGACGGCGAGGAGTGCAGGGCGGAGACGGCGGAAGGGGAGCGCGGCGACGAAGGCGGCATGACGAGCAGGCCCACACTGGAGATGTCACTGGTCGACTCGGACGGAGGCGAAGGGGGCGCGACCGGCGTAGAGGCCAGGCGCAGTGCCACCGCGAGGTCAGAGGCCGACACCTGGGTGCGTCCCGCCTCGGAGCCGCCACGGCCTGGAGGTGGGTTGGCGGGCTCGGGGGATGGGGAGCGGGAGTGCCTAGACAAGTCCTCGTCATCCTCAGGATCCTCGGGGCGTGAGTGGCGGGACCGGCGGCGGCGGGAGCCGTCGTCGTCAGCTGGGCCGCCCCTCAAGTGGCTGTCGTCGGAGAAGCGGGGGCGACCGATGTGGTTCGGAGGCTCGGGGCAGATCTTGAGGTCGTAGCCGTCGTCGTTGAAGAAGACCCGAATCGTGGCTTGGAGCTTGGAGGAGTCCAGGCATTTCACCTTGACCCGGACCTCCTCCTCCTTGCGGAGAGAGAGCTCGTCGACCACCACCACCTTGCCTAGGAGCTTGGACATGCCGCGAATGATGCGCTTAGACCGGGCCACATCCGGCAGGCCGGCGATGAGGATCCAGGCCGTATCGAGGACCACCACGGCCTTGGGATCCCACCTCGGCTCAGAGATGTTCACCACAATCCTGTTGAGGGCCAAAGTGATGTTGTCGTTGCGGGTACAGAAGCCCATGCTCAGAGCGTCGGGGAAGATCACTGTGAAGGAGTTGGCCGCAGTGGAGGTCACCTGCCAATCCCACTTGCATCTGCACA